CTGGACATCGTCGGTGGACCGCGAAGTGGGGCCAACGGCGAGAGGCGCTCGAACCGAGACGGCCGAGGGTCTTCGGGAAGGATGGGGACGGCATGATGATGATGGACCACTATCATCATCAACCTCATCATCCCCCATCATGATCCCTACCATCCACAAATCACCACCTACACACCATCGTAATTCTCATACTTTTATCATCATCACCATTAGCACCATCATCATCAAAATCATCGTCATCAACATTACCAACATTAACATCATCATCAACATCATGTTGAACGTCAACCGCAATAGACAACAACAGCCGGGTCACATACAACCCGCGCTGCTGACGGCCAGTCCCTGTGCTAGCTGGACCGCGCCCCCCCGCCCCCCGACAGCAAAAAAATTGGCGTGACAAGCGATGTCCTGCATGGTAAGCCACATGTCTTGGGCCTCCAGCTCCAGCCCTACGCGGGCGAGAGGCCACTCAGAAAATCCGCTGCCCCGTTTTGTGGGGCCACTTCACGAAGAATACGTATATTGGGAAACCGGGTCTGCACTCGTCCTCTCCTCGTTCTCTCCTCCTCCTCCACCCACTTCCTCACCACTTCACAAGTGTCTTTCCTACGCGACCCCAGGACACAACTCAGGATCGTATAACATATATTCCACATGAAACGGTTTTGAACCCAACGGATCACCCTAGAGGTGACCCAATACAGCCGTATGCGGCAATAAGGGCGAAATAATACTCAGAAGACAAGCCTGTGGGAGGGGAAGGATAATCCGGGGGTGCTCCTCGCGACAATCACGCAGACTGCCGAGTCCACGTGTTCACGTATTCCAGCTGGATGGCTGCTCACGTCGAGCAATTCTACACTTCGGGTGACAGATCATATTCTGAGCGGTGTCTTTGTTTTACTCTCTACGGCTTTCCGTTCCACCCGTGACCCCACCATAGTCCGCGTTTGCTGCGACAGGACTCAAGCAACCTAACCCGATTGTCAGAAGACCAGGCATCTCCTGTCCCAATTCCTTCGTGTCTAGCGAAACCGGACGAACCTTGCAACTGATTTGTTGCATGACTAAGCAGTGGGCCTAACACCAACACAACTGTACAATTTCATTGCCGCGCGTGTCGCGGGTCCAGGAAAATCCGTGCTCCCAGGGCCATAAGACCCACCATTTCTTCGTCCGTCGCTCCTGAAGGAGAGAATGCCCCCCACCGTATGACAACAGTGGGGCAGGATTTGGTAGACCCGCATTACAAGCAGTTTTAGTCTCGTGGAGGATTAGAAGGGGGATCCTCATCCTCCACTCCTGCTCCTCTCCGAGGCCTTCTAGGGGCCACGGGATATGGGGGCGGTCTTGGGTAGGTTAATCTTGCCAGGGTGTCTGGAGGATGCCTCGCTGGATGGCCGTCCAAGTCAATGCCTGTTTGTCTTCCGCCACACGATGACGCATCCAAATCGCACATCTCCCTGTGCATGCACCTGTCTCCAGGCTGCAAGGACACGGTTATGCACTTCCTATGTACGCTCCTATACATTAGACATTCGCATCTGTTTGAGGTGTACGCGCGCATTGCGCATACACATTTGCGTATACAGTCAAGTGCAGCACATAATCATGCTGTCATGTCCTACCAGCATCTGTCCCGTAGCCAATCGCAGAAGACGACCACTGTGCCGATGAGTCACACCATGTCCTAGAACCCTGACAGAGTGCCTGCGCATGCCTCCGGACCTTCTGCATCGACCTGCACACACAGGATCATACGTGCATATGCGCGCTATGTATGATGACAAACTGGGGTACACAACTATACATCGAAACGTATGTGTGTGTATGTGTATATGCATGTGTTTGCTTATGGTGATGTATATGTGTACAGGGCATACATGTTGGTCAGCGTTGACCCCGTACAATGATGTTTTGCAACCTGTGCGGTGCGGTATAGGTGGAGAATAAATGGGGTGCAATCTAGGTGGTACTTTCCATGTGGCGCAAAGGACTGCAAATCATTGCAAAGCAATGCTACACAATGCGAGGCAATGTACAACAGTGCAAACCAGTGCAACGAAATGCAAAGCAATCCACAGCAATGCGAACCAGTGCAAAGCACTGCGAAGCACTGCACAGCAATGCAACGCAGTGCAAAGCCATGCAAATCAAAGCAAACCAATACAATTCGATGCAAACCAGTGTCCAATGCAGATCAATGCAGATCACTGCAAAGCAACGCAAAGCCATGCAAAACCGTGCAATGCAACGCAACGCAATGCACAGCAATGCAAAGCAACGCGACGCAATGCGAGTGGCCTCCAGGGGGCCGTTTTGGAGTCTTCTGGGGCCTCTTTGGGCCTCTTGGGGACCTCCTGGCGGTCTCGGGGGCCACCTTCCGGCGGAGGGCTGGAAATCTTAATTCGAATTCCCTCTTCTTGGACCCCTCTGGGGGCCCTCTTGGGCGCTTATTGGGCCGTCTTAGGGCCCTCTTGGCATGATTTTGGAGGCCTCTTGGGCCGTCTTAGACGCCGTGAAGGTCGAAAAGTCGCATCTGCTAAACATGCTTTTTTCCTTTAAGGAATGGGACGATTGTTGCCTCTTGGAGCTGTCTTGGGAAGTTCCCAAATTAGCTCGGCTCGGGGTCGGAATCCTCCCCACGCGACGCCGGAGGAGGAAGAGGAGGAGGAGGAGGAGGAGGAGGAGGAGGAGGAGGATGAAGAGGCAGGATAAGGTGGAGGACGAGGAGGAGGCAGAGAAGGTGGAGAATGAGGATGAGGAGGCAGGAGTAGGAATGGGGGAGGAGGATGCAGAAAGAGGAGTTATGAGGATGAGGCAGGATGAGGAGCCGGCAGGAGGAGAAGGAGGAAGCAGGAGGAGGTAGGAGGAGGGAGCAACAAGATATTTGCAGGCAGGCTGAATTTGTTCGCATGTGGGGTCCTACCGTCGGATTAAATTCTTCTTAAAAGGTTCCGTAAGCGTATTCGATGATCAAAGCATAGCGCGACATTGCGTGGCCAAAAACGATCTAGCATAGCATTGGGTATCATTCCAGCGCGCAGCCTAGCGTGTCGCATCACCACTATGGCGTAGCACTCGCGTTCGCATCAAAGTCGGCATGGCGTTAACGTGGCATGGCATGACACTTGAACGGCAAACTGGCTCCCGAGTCATTTCCCCTCATACGACAAGCGGGATCCCTTTGGACAGACCTTTTGGGGGGCTATGTACCACGACCGCACAAATACTCACACACGGCATGACGCCAAGTGCTCATAGCCGTGTCGGTACACGTCTGTGCGCAGCAAGAGTATGCACCCCTCGTGCGCTTGCACGCTGTGCGCTCATAGCACATGTATTTTCACGCAATCATTGTGTACTGCACACTTTTTTCGTCAGCGGCGACGCAGAGAAGCTGCCCCAGCGGGTGGCGATTCGGGGCGACCGAAAGGCGAATCGGCCGCCGTGCAAGAGAGGGAAAAAGGAGGAAAGGGCGGCCGTGCGGAGGACCAGAGGAGGAGGGCACTCAATCGCGGACGACTTCCACGTCGAGTGGGCCGGTGCGGCCAGCAGCGGCAACGGGGCCGTGGCAGCAGCCGGGCCGCGGCGAGGGTGCACCCACGGGCGCTGCCAGGGCTCAGTGCCGAGGTATGTACTGCACACATGAAGCCCACACGCGTCGTGCACCACCTCGGTGGAAGATGTTACATGCGCGGAGCACGCGAACACGTGCGTGTGCACCTGCATATGGACGTACGCGACGTGTCACTTCGTGCGCAGAGTCCAAGGACAAATTTGGTGATGAAGTCCGTGACCACAGCTGATGGGGAGTCGGGTTACGCCTGGCAGGCCCTGCTCTGGCGCCCTTGCCGCCGTGGTCTCCTGCGATCGGCGCGCTGTTGGGTCGACGACCCTGCAGGAATTCACTGTCGGGCACGTCGAGCAGCCTGATTAAGCCTAAGCCACTCAATCGGCGGGACATGGCATCACGACCACCTGGGCAATCAACGCCAACCACACGCCGGAATACAGGGCCCTGGCTGGTCCATAGGATAGGTGCATACACCTCTGGCCAAAGCTGGGAGGGCGTGAGCATCATTCCTAGGTTCTGCCCAGCCAGGGCGAGACTGGCGATGGTGTGCAGTTGACTTATTCCTGCCTGGTCAGCCAGAGGCCCCTTCCCGTTCGGTAAGACGGTCAAGTACACGAACCACACCAAAGACAGGTACATGCAACCGAGCGTCACTGCCAGGCCCTGGCCCAGGTATGTCACCACCTTGACGTGATCCTTGTTGGGCCACAGAGCGGGGCTTTGCATACAATTAGCCTGGCGAAGGACCCAATCACATGCAGTTGTGAGTGCCGCAATTGTGAGGATAGTCTTCGATGGAACTCCCTATGGGGCCACAAAACGTGTGAGGTGCGTGCCGATTTTGGGAAGGGGGGGGGCGCATGTGAACCCTCCCACTGGGACTTTCGGTGGAGTTCCCTATGAGGCCACCGAAATTGTGAGGGGTGTGCCGAAAAGTGCGTGACGCCCACATGCGAACTGCGCCACTGGGACCTTCGGTGGAGCCCCCTACGGGGCCACGAAGCGTGTGAGGGGTGTGCCGAAAAGGGAGTGACGCCCACATGCGAACTGCGCCACTGGGGCCTTAGATGGAACCCCGTATGGGGCCACGAAACGTGTGAGGGGTGTGCCGAAACGGGCGTGACGCCCACATGCGAACTGCAGCGCGGGGACCTTCGGTGGAGCTCTTTATGGGCCACGAGCGTGTGAAGGATGTGCCGAAACGGGCGTGACGCCCACATGCGAACTGCGCCACTGGGACCTTCGGTGGAGCTCCCTACGGGGCCATGAAGCGTGTGAGGGATGTGCCGAAACGGGCGTGATGCCTACATGCGAACTGCGCCACCGGGACCTTCGGTGGAGCTCCCGATGGGGCCACGAAACGTGTGAGGGGTGTGCCGAAACGGGCGTGACTCCTACATGCGAACTGCGCCACGGAGGCACTCGGTGGAGCTCCCTTTGGGGCGACGAAACGTGTGAGGGGTGTGACGAAAATGGAGTGACGCCCACATGCGAACTGCGCCACTGGGGCCTTAGATGGGACCCCGTATGCGGTCACGAAACGTGTGAGGGATGTGCCGAAACGGGCGTGACGCCCATATACGAACTGCGCCACGAAGGCACTCGGTTGAGCTCCCTACGGGGCCCCAAAGCGTGTGAAGGGTGTGCCGAAACGGGCGTGACGCCCACATGCGAACTGCGCCACGGGGGCATTAGATGGAGCTCCCTGCAGGGCCACAAAACGTGTGATGGGTGCGGAAACGGGCGTGACGCCCACATGCTAACTGCGCTACAGAGGCACTCTGTGGAGCCCCCCTATGGGGCCACGAAGCGTGTGAGGTATGTGCCAAAACGGAGGTGAACACGTGATGGTGATGACGATGGAGGAAGGAGGATGAGGAGGAGGGCGGGAGGTGAGGTGACGCGGGGCGCTGCCTCTTCACAACGAGAACCCAACACCGAAGGATAGTTGGGAAATGTTTGAAAGAAACCTAGAACAAATCTGCGGATCAATCTATATTTCAAGAAAACAACCAACTCGCTGATTTTCGGCATGTTTCAGCGATCTCCGAGTCCTTCGGGATCTGGAACGTGTCCGCGGGGACCAGCTTCTTCCATCCCCAGACCATGTGGCAGATGAACACAATCACGCAAGCAGAGTAGAACAAAACAGTGTTGAGGTCTCCGAAGAGCTCGTATTCCCGTGTGTACACGTCGTGAACCGCCACTGGCGTGACGCCCTCAGGCGGCTTAATACCAGGAGCCACCGGTTCGCTGAACAAGTGGCCCGAGAAAATCTTGTCGTAAGCGATGAAATACTTCGGCGGGTATACAGCAGCGCAAGTCCAATGCTGGTACAATCGAATGTCGGTTAGATGCTTGAAAAGGAACGAGAGGACCGTCAGACCAGACAACAACATGTTCCACCGTCCCGTGTACACGCAGTAATTCAACGAGATGTCCCAAGACCTGAGTTCACTCTACTGTTCCCCCTATCTGTGTATCCCTCCCAGCTCAGGGAACAACGCTCATAGATGACTAAACCTTCGCATCACCCTCCTCCTCCTCCTCCTCCTCCTCCCCCTCCTCCTCTTCCTTCTGCTCCTCCCCCTTCGCCCTCCTCATCCTCCATCTCCTCCTCCTCCTCCTCCTCCTTATCTTGCTTCTGCTGCTGCTGCTGCTGCTGCTCCTCCTCCCCTTCCTGGAAGAGCTTGACACTGGATGTCTGCTGACCCCCGCCTGCCAGAGGCGCTCAAGCGTGTGAGATCACTGAATTCCACCTTCTCCCTTCTCTGCCACCCCAAGGAGTCCCGAATTGACGTCTGGATGGACGGTACCGTCAACCCGCATCGTGAGGCCGCACGATGAGGATGCAGGGTCCTCGGAAGGCCGTGTCGACGCTTTGTGGGCGGGGCGCGGCCAGCGAAAGCGGCCGAGGCTGGACCGAAGGGGACGGATGCAAGGGTCCCAGAGATCCGATGTCGCGATTTCTCCCACACGGGGCCCCTGAGAAGCCTCGACCCACTCCCTCGGGCCAATTTTTCATCCTGAATCGTTTTTTGACGGCCCTGGGGCCTGGCGAGGGCCCCTGGAGGCCGAAAACTGTGAAACACCTCCGTCTTGATCTTTTCAATGCGTTCGAGTTCTCGGGCAGCCTCTGGGAAGGCTGCCCATCCTCACTGTGCGGGTTGGCCGTAGGGAAGGCTCACGAGCAGCTGTGCGGGCTGGCCCGAGCGGCGCCCTGGCGCCCTGCACGGCACACGTCACGCGTGGCGAGGACGCCGTGGGAGATCGCTGCCAGTCGGAGGAGGCGCTTTTGGAATGGTTCTCGGGAGCACGACGAGGCGCAGCAGGGGCAATCACAACACCAAGAACAAGGATTCGCAGACACGACAACAATCATAGCAATCACACGAAACATCTAGGATTAGGTCGGGCATGTCCCCAAACCTAAAAATAGTAAACACATGCCCTCAAAATGCTTAAAAGTACAAAACATAGTCCCCCGACTATTTTTTTGACTATTTTTGAATTTTCCTCCTGTAGAGGGACAGGCCCGACTTGAATTCAGGACGACGTCGAGGCGGAAACACAATCAGCGGTAGCACAAGAGGGGACATATGAAAACACACATACTCCAAGCCCAGAGCCGCTTCAAAGCGACAGCGACGTGGAGCGCCAAACACAGGACAGTATACTCCTCCAGCAAGCAGATGCCGCCGCCTGTCCAGCCCATCCTGTCCTCAATGAGGTAGCCCTCGCCATTCACCTCGGGTCCACCTCCTCCTCATCTTTGCCTTTCCTCCTCATGGCTTTCCTCCTTCTCATCCCCTTCTCCCTCTGCATGTCCTCTTCCTTTTCTTTTTCCCCATCCCCTCTCCGCTCTCTCAGCTCTGGGGGGATCGCGCGCGCGATTTGAAACGGCCCGAATGCGGGAGCCAACGGATGGCTGCCGGCGCACGTGGGCGACGGTTGGCCCCCCTGACTACAAAACCACTTTCCTACGTGGTTGAGGTGTTAGTGCTGGCCACGAGCCACATGGATCAGCCCGGGCTGAAGCTGGTGGTCAGATACGTGGCTCTCGTGCGCAGCGCTTGCGTTACTCGCGTGCCGCTACAGCCTGCCAAATTTCAGAAACCCTGAATTCAAACGGGTTGACGTCCCTTGGGGGGAGGAGGAAAGAGGATGTTGACGGAGGGGGGTAGATTCTTGCTTCCGCCAGCTTCCAGCTGTGGATGCGCCTTCGTTTAACTTCTGCTGGTCATCCGCCACCTTGCCCCGAAGAAGAGAAGTGAATCTTGTTTCGATATCTCGAAGGTGAGGCATTTGCTGGAACGCCACAGTGGCGGGCCGCGCTGGATGCGTTTGCGCTGGCCGCTGGGATTGCGACGTCTGGTTCCCGCGGTGGCGGTGGCCGGATCGGCCGAGGCTTCGCGTGACGGCGTGCAGCGTCGTTGGGCTCGCGCATGCCGGAAGGGAAGCTGCCAGTCTTTGAGGCTCGCCTGCGCCACAGGAACATCGACGTGAACGGGGCGGTGGCGGCCGCGAGCGCCAGCGTGGTCGGCACGCCACCGCGTGAGGGCACCCGGCTCATTTTCCATTCCTCTCCCCCTGCTGTTGCTTAAGTCTTTCGCCTGGATATTCAGAATCTCTGCAACATGTTCCGAGGATATCCCATGGTCAGTGGGCTCCGCAGACGACATGGGTAAGAAGGGATAGTGCCGTCATACATACACCAGGGTAACACCGAAGGGGGGAGGCCGACCCGCCGGCCGACGCACGCGCGCGCGCCGCAGGCTCGCTCCTTTTCCGTTTCCCTAGAGCCAAAGTAGTATAGTTGCGGGAGCAGAAGTAGTCAGTCAGTACAGCAGGCAGACAGCGCACGCAAGGAGAGAGAGCAGGCAGGGCGAAATATTGGTGGTGCGGAAGGGGTGCATTGACTGCTTCTCTCCCTCCGCCTTCCCCTCGCCCTCTCTCACCAACCCTCGTGCTCCTCATCCTGTTAAGACACTGCCGAAACACGAGCACCCGATCAACATACATAATAATAGTAATTGCCAAAAGCTGGCGACCCAGCCGTAGAGCGCAGTCCCTGTTGGCGCACAACGCAAGGCGCGCATGTCAAACTCCGCCGCGGAAAAATTTACCGGGCGCGCCAGATATGGCCTCCACCGAAGAACGAGTCTGGGAACCGCACGCCGGTCGCGGAGCCGCGCCGCGGCATGCGTGGCGATGTGCTCCAAGGCGCGACGCGTGTCATTGGCGAGCCGCCCATACGACTCCAGAGCAACCGTGAGCACGTCGCTGCCATAGCGCGTGCGCTTGTCTGAAATGGTAGAATGCGCGGCCTCACCAGGGTTCGCGGCTGCCTGACCGTACCGCTGGGCGTGCGAACAGCGAGTGGAGACATCAATTTGCAGAGGCTGGGCCGACCCTGGAGAGGTCACGGCCAGGTCCATCACAGCCTCCTGCACACCACCTCTAGGCGTCACACGAATGAGCTCGGGCACAGTGCGCTCGATGTCCACCTCCGCGCGGCACTCGCGCAGAAGGCGCGCCGGAGCTGCGGCGATGGCAAGATGCGGCCGCATCCGCGCTGGGCCATGCTTGCACAACCGCGGGTGCTTCAGCGAAGGGTCCAAGCGTAGACCGCACACCTCTCCGGAGTTGCCGCCCCTGAGCTGGACGCGGCACGCTGCCCCTGGCAGGGCCACGAGAGCCCCCCAGCCTGCGCCTAGTAGCCACGCGGAAGTAGCTGAACGGCAACCATTCCGCCAGCATCGCAGGGAACTGCATCCAGAGCGCACCGGCGCCAGGGCCCCCAAAGGACAGCGCGGCTTCGCGGCGCTCCTGGCCCAATTCATGCTCCTGCTGCTGCTCCTCCTTCTTCTGCTTTCTTTTCTTCTCCGACCCCTCATCCTACCCATCCCCATCTTCCTTTTTCTCCCCCGTCATCCTTTGTCCTTACGCTTCGCTGGCCCAGCGGGGACGGGCCAGAGGCGTGTCGGATCCTCCATGCAGGCAAGCTAATTCGTGTGGTTCGCATTTTGATTGTGCACACGCTCACGCACGAACAACCGCACACACACCACACATCACCACACACACACACACCCTACACACATCATACTCAGCCACACATAGATACACACAGACACACAGAGGCACACACAGACACACAAACAGACAGACACACACAAACACACAGGCACAGACACACCCAGACACACACAGGCACACGGACACACAGGCACAGACACAGTCACACAGATACAGAGACACAGAGGCACAGAGGCGCACAGTCACACAGACACAGACACACAGACACAGACAAACATACACAGACACACAGGCGCGGAGACACATGGACACACACACACACATTCACAATCACACATACCATGATGATGCTGCTGATGATGATGAAGAAGATGAATATGATGCTTATGCTGATGATGATGATGATGCTGATGCTGAGTTGAAGCACCTTATGGGGCCACGGAACGTATGAGGGGTGCGCCAAGATGGAGGTGGTACTGCATGCGGTCCCTGCCACTGGGGCCTTCGGCGGAGCACCCTATGGGGCCACGAAACGTGTGAAGGGTGCGCCGAAATGGGGGTGGAACTGCATGCCGACCCTGCCACTGGGGCCTTCGGTGGAGCACCGAATAGGCCCACGTGTAAGGGGTGCGCCGAAATGGTAGTGGAACTGCATGCGGACCCGGCCACTGGGGCCTTTGGTGGAGCACCCGATCGGGCCACGAAATGTGTGAGGGCGCGCAAGATTTGGGGTGGAATTGAATGCGGACCCTGCCACTGGGGCCTCCGGTGGAGCACCCTGTGGGGCCACGGAACGTGCGAGGGGTGCGCCGAAATTGAAGTGGAACTGCATGCGCCCATATGGCGACGATGAGGACATGCGGAGGGCAGAGGCAAGGGATGGGAGGAGGGAGGAGGGGGAGGAGAGGAGCGGGAACGCGGGGCGCTCTCTTCAAAACGAGGACCCAACACCACAGGATGGTTACGAATAACTCGAAAAAGCAAGCATACACATTGTTATGCTGCTTTTAAAACCAAAAACAACAAAACACAACAAAACATTCACAGCGTTTCGTGGCACCGAAGACGCCAAACACTTTGTATTCTTGGTGCTCGCCATTTGCATCAAGGAGGAGGAAAAGAAAGGAGAAGGAGGGAGAACGCGGGGCAGGGGGAGAACGAGGACGTGCTGGGGGGGAGGCCGCGGGGAGCACTGGAGCTCTCCCCCCTAAAAAAAACCGAACCAAAAACCAAACACACCCAACATACACAGAATTTCGTTGCTTCCCGGACCAAGAAAAAACGCAACAAACCCAACATACACACCGTTTCGTGGCACCGAGGGCGCCAACCACTGTGTATCATTGTTTCTGGTTTTGCATCAAGGAGGAGGAAAAGGAGAAAGAGGAGGTGGAGGAATAATAGAGGGAACGGCGAATCAGAAGGACGAGTTGTGTTTGTAGAAAGGAAACGATGAAGGGCGAGTTGTGTTTGGAGAAGCGGGGGGGAATGATAATATGAGTAAGAGGGAGATTAGGATTAATACGATTCAGGATGAGATGTATGAAGTGCTGCCTCGCGCGCTCGCCTCTTCTCTACTCTATGGATGTTGGCTTTGGCGGCGCATATCAAGGCGCGTGAGGAGGCATCAACGCCACCCCATATGTGAGGTGGCTTGTTACGTTCTGGCTTGGGGTCCCCGAGCGATAAAACATTCCTACTTCTCGTCCTCCTCCGCTGGCTGACGTATTGATTTCAGTGGGGGAAGCCTTTCCAAGCGTTTCCTGGATGATCTCATCAGAATAAGCTTTGTGGGTTCATGGACTAGGCTCCCTAGGTAACTGGCCAGAACTTCCCAAACCCAGCGACCTCCTCTGGTCGGTTGTTCACAAGCAGATCCATCACGTTTCCACCAGCGTGGACGATTGTGAAAAAGAGCAAGAACATGGCGGAGCGGATAGTGCCGTTGCGGTTGTTGTCGAAACTGAAGTGGAAATTCCCCGTGAAGAGAATCGTCTTCATGATGAGCCTCAACACATTGAGGACCTTAGGTCGTTATCTTGGCAATTCGTCTGAGATGCCCCAGGCCCGAACCAATCCGATCGAGTTAGCCATCGGTTCGAAATCGGTTGATGTGCTCGCCGAGCTTCGCGTAGGGCCTTAATGATGGTGCCGCTCGGTGCAAGGATAAGAACGCACCCATGATTAATCACCGCCCCAGCTGCTGAAGGCCAAAAGGATGGTCCCTTCTCGTGCCCAGTGCGTCCATCCCCTGGGATTTCAAAACAACGCATGCCATCATGCCATCATCCAGCCAGCCCGGCCGTTCCAGCGCCAAGCAGAAACAAAACAACTGCGCAATGGTAGCCTGAGAACTGCTTGGCCTCATCACCCCACCCCGTATTCGAGTCGGAGATCGACTTCGATTTATCCCAAACTTGATTTTCCGCCGATTCTGCGAGCAGTGCTGAGAACGCTCCGTCGATCTACGGGGCACTCTACGCATGTCTCCCAGATTTGACGACAAACGCATGAACTCTGGGGTGGACCCCTTCTGCAGCCGATCTACCAACTGCTCGACGCGTGCGCGCCGCCGACGACGACGCCGAGCCCTGGGCCATGTAGAAAAAGGCGCCCACTGGCCCCGGCATGCAGCCGGGGCCGTCCGGCGCCGGCAGCTCGTCGTCGCCGCCGCTCGCCGCGGGCGGCGGGGCCGCCGACCCGCCCGCGAACTTCCCCTGCGCAGGGCAGCGGCAAGAGCGGAGTCCGCCCAAGCTTTTAGGTCGGCGTGCCCAGGCCTCCCCCGCGCTGGGGGAACAAAAATACGACGGTGAAATCTTTCGTCATTTTCTGCCTCTGGGGGCCCTCGCCGGGCCCCGGGACCGTCAACATTTTTTGTTTTTTTTGTTGTTGTTGTTTTAATTTTTTCCCGATGATGATAATCCACAAATTCTACCTGCCAGCTTTGGTTTCTCAAGGGTGCTCTGAACAGTTCTGATGTGCACTGTACTCCGTGGGTCACAGGCGACTCGTCAACAAAAACGACTCGGGACGAAAAACCTGTCCTGGGCTGGGGAAGGATGAAGACCTCTGGGGGTCGACGTTGCGAAAAGATCACGACGTCGGGGGTCGGCGTACTTGGCGGCTGGAGGATTGTATCGCATCGGCGATGCATCCGCGATGAGTCGGCGGCGCGTGATGGATACAATCGGGCTCTGGATCGTGCCGCATCGCTGACGCATCAGCGATGCGCCGCGATCCTCCGACCCCATCTGCTCCAGTCCCACTTGGCCGACCTGGAAGGAAGCCTCCCTGGCCCGCTTCGCTTGAAGAGGGACGAGCGGTGTCCCTGGAAACCCACCCAGCGTGGCCCGTGTAGTGAAAGTTGCACTGATCAAACATGGCGATGGAGGGCAGGGGCGAGGAGGAATAGGGAGTGGAGAGGACCAGGGTAATACATCTGTGCTGGACACAAGTTTCTCCCGAGTCAGGGGTTCACAGGGCTTGGTTACCCAAGATCAGCGACCCACTCATTTCACACGAGCATCGAAATACCCTCCACACCGACGATGGCCCATACCCCTCCGACTCTAAAAACTCACCACCCTCGCCTCGCATACCCCTTGTTTCCTCCTCGCCGCCTCACTTCCTCCTCCACCTCGTCCCCCTGTCACCATCCAATTCTCCATGACTGCTGGTCGGGGGCGAACGGGCCACCCCGGCGGCCCTGGGACCTCTTAGACAAAGGATGTGCCGCCACCGCCCGGCCTTGACCACGGGGCCGTTCGGATTCGACAAATTGGCCTCGATCATGTTCGGCTTGTGGATCGTGTTCCACTCCTCGCTCCCAACGGTCATAACAATACACGGATCCCATCGGTAGCCAGGCGGGCGAGAAACCGTGAAGACATCGCAACGGCGACAAATGGACAAACTGGCACCGTGGGAATCGCAAACCATTAACGTCGCCTGGACAGAATACGGAATGCGCCAGGATTTGGCCTTCAGGTGCAATGGTCTTATCGAATGCCCCCCCTCCTCGGTGACGGCTGCCGAACAGGCCATCATACTAAGCGGGAACATGCGTGTGCGTGTGCGCTTGCAGCACGAACGAGAAATAACATGAGGAGCGGGCAGGGTAATGATCCCCACGGCTATAATTCGACCAACGGTCGTGGCAACCTCGCCCAGACATGCCCCAGATGACGGCAAAAAGGAGGAATGAGGACGGAGGGAGGAAGGAACAGAAGAGCAAACGGAGAGGGAGGAGGGTGAAGGATGAGGGGGACGGATGGCGGAAGGACGGAGGGAAAGAGCGGAGGGAATGGAATCGGTAGGGTAAGGAATATTGAAAAATGGACTGAGGAATGACGGATCAATTGAGGGGTTCGATGGGGCTCGAGGTACCAGGAAGTGAACAGAGGGGAAGAGGGAGCGAAGGAGGGCATGTGACCCTACTGGACATGAGCGGCTCTTTGCCTCGGTGTTTTGCCCAAGTCACCCGCCTCTGGCACAGCTGGGCTTCACCAGCGAAAGCGCTCGCACGCCTGGCCTGGGGACAGACAAATAGTAACGATGCCAAGCAGTAGATGCTGTCACAAACCGACAGCGCTGTTGTGCTGGCGGCGTTCGACCCAAATTGATAATGCCCGCGGCGACGCCGACGGCGAGTCCAAGTCAACATGGGCAGGAACAAACTGCTGCGGCGGCGACCACAGCGGGGTATGGAGAGAGGGGGGCAACTTCTCAACAGGAGGCTGATTCTTAGAAGGCGCCAGTCCTACATCTGGAGACAAGGCCTGCCTCTTCTAAAGAAGCGGGGGGGCTTCTAAGAAACCTTCTCCCTTCCCCCTATCCCCCTCTGCGAACGGCTGAATTTCGGTCTCCCCGATGAGTGCGCCAACCCTAGGCGGGCGAAGCCTCAATGCTTCTTCATCCTTTTGACGTTGCACGGACCTGATCTGAAGATCGTGGCGTTCTGTTGCTAGGAAAAACATGAATAACCCGACTTAGGCCAAGGGTCATACAAATTAGCCTGGCGGGCGCCACGGGCAAAGAAAGGCAACGTACCTTGGAGCATGCGCCCGCCAGGTAGAGGAACCGCAAGCCTGGTGAACCTTGGTACCTCAGCCCGCCCCAACAGTTATATCCCCTCCCAAGTCTTTTGATTGTGGCTTCTTCACCCTTCCTCCCCCCGCCCCTGTCCTGCCTCGTCCCTCTTACCTCTTCCTCGCGTGCCCTCCTCCCCTGCTCCTCGATCCCTTGTGCTAATAAGTCTGCAAGGGGCCCAAGGACACGCAAAGACATGCGCAAGTCGCAGGATTCCCCATCTCTTTTATTTTCTGGATGTTCGTCTTCCCCTTCCACTCCCCATATTTTCCATATTTCCTGGGCATCGACGTTTATTAGTGTCTGTGTTTTCCTCCTGACGAAACTCCCCCTGCAGCACCCCGAAACGTGTCGGTAGGGCGGGCCGGGCGTTCCGCTTGAGACTTCCGCACCACTTATGATCCTGAGGCTGAGAACTTGCAACAATTTCACGGATGAAGGGCACGTGGTTTTCAAACTGTGGCTCTCGCCCAAGCGCCGCGCAAATTCGTCTTAAAAGCTTGCACGAGTTTCGCGGATGGAGGGCGGGCCGTTTTCAAAATGTGGCCCTCGCCTGAGCGCCGCGCGCATTCGTCCTAGAAGTTTGCAAGAGATTTGCGGATGCAGGGCGGACCGTTGTGAACATGTTGCGCTCGCCTAAGCCCCGCGTGTATTCGCTTTAAGCGTTTGCAGCAACTTCGCGGATGGAGGGCGGGCCGTTTTCAAAATGTGGCTTTCGCCTTAGCGCCGCGCGCATTCGTCTCAAATGTTTGCAGGAGCTTCTCGGATGGATGGCGGCTCCTCTCAAACTGTGGCCCTCACCTGAGCGCCGAGCACATTCGTCTTCAACGTTTTCAGAAGTTTAACAGGTTCATGCGGTCGACGGCCTTGGGAAGGGTGTTTTGGCACGATGTAGAAATGTCAGGGCGCAACGGTCAGGTTGATTCGCGGTGTGGAAGACCCGAGAATGGCGTTGTGGCGCAATTCATGATCGCTAGGACGTAACACTGACGTTGATTCGCGGCGTTGAAGACCCAGGAAATTCTTGTTGGCACGGTTTAAGATTTTCATGCGGTTGTCTTCCTACTTGGCACTTTCCACCGTGAAAATAAATCCTTGTAGGGACCTGTGAAGATGGAATGTGGAGAGAAACTGTATTGCAACACCGTTAATTGATCATGGGTACTGGTCCTCCTCCTCCTCCGCCTCCTCCTGTCCTCTTCCTCTGCCTGCTGATCCACACTCTCGCCCTTGCCCGCCTCCTCGCTCGTCCCGACCACGCCCGCGGACGATATCGAGCCTGCGCGCCACGCCTTGCTCAACGCAACTCCTTCCTCCTCCATCCTCCGCCTCCCCCTCCCTCACCCTCACCATCATCCTCCCATTCTCCCTCGTCTCTCCCCCCCCTCGTCCCTCCTCCCTCGTTGCTCCTCCCTCATCCCAGCAGCCGTTTTAGGTTCCAGCGATCGCCCGGCCGTCGCTCTGCTGCCCCGCGGCGGCCTGGCGCTCGGCAGGCCCGCGACGTCGCCTCCTCCGTGGAGGCGGCGGTCCTCGGCGTCTGCTCAGCTCTGTCGGCCGCCCTCTACGGAGCGGGCCGCAGGGACGTGGTGGTTGGTGGCGACGCTGCTGTGGCGCGCGATTCATCTCGTCCTCGGGCGACCTCGGCTGCTGGAGGTGCTGCGTCCATCCTCGAGGGCGCCCTGGTGCCGCTGGATGCGGCTGCTGCTGGCATGAGGCTTGGCCTCGCGGTGGTCGCGTTCGACGCCACGGCCGTGTCGGACGTCGACGACGAATGGGCTGACGAGCCGATGGTGGCGCCGCCCTCGCGGCGCCTGCGGAGGCGCCAGCCCGCTGCGGATGCGGCCCTGCGGGAGTCATCGTGCCGGCGCCGCGTCGGCGTGATCGCGGAGCGCTTCGGGGCCGGAGCGGGGCGTCGTCGAGGCCCTGCCCTTCAGCGGGCTGCGCCGTGCGGAGGCGGTCGTCCTCGACACCCGCTGCGCTGCGGCGGCGGCTGCTGCGCTCCGGGGCGGCAGGCAGGGATGGCTCGCAACAGGAGGCGGTGGGCGCCCAGCCTTTGTCTCGCGCTGGCCCGCCGTCCCTCCCCCTCCGTGCACATGGTGCTGCTCTGTGTCCAAATCCGACGGCACTGTCGGGGACCTGGCACCCCAGGTGCTGGCCAGGTCCCCGCGGTCGCGGCCGCTCGTCGGCCGCGCAGTCTTGCGAGATTTTCCCGATCGGGGCTGTCCTAGCTACCTATCCTTCTCCCTCGTCCCTCCTCCTTCCTCCCTCACCAAGCCCAGTCCTCGCCTCCCTCACTCCTCCCTCGTCCCCCTTCCCCCCCCCCCTTGGGCTGTGTCACTCATTAGTTGCGCGCCCCCGGGGCTGACGAGGTCGTGCACCTTGCTTCCGAGGAGAGCCGAACTGAACCGAACCCCCTTCCCTGCACCATCAGCATCCTCCTCGTCCGTCGTTCCTCCTTTCTCCATCCTCGTCCGCACCCTGTCTTTGCCGCCACGCGCCCTGCCCGACGATCCTCCGAAGCATCCTGGCCCAAATATGCCATGATGGCCTGCTCGCCGCCAGGGTGGACCGGGATCCACTTGGTCACGTCCAGTACCTGGCCGTTGACCACGATCCACGCGTCCTCCTGTCGCAGGGTGTAAGGAGCAGGCAATCCTAACCATACCAAGGAGGAGGGGGCGATACAGGCTGAAAGGTTTTCTCGATGGATGAGCTGCAGCAAGAAGGATACTCCACCGAGCTGCGGCGTGAAGGCGTTAAGCCTGACGAACACGGCATCCCGAGAATGGGCAAGGGAAGGGACCGGGGTCAGGAGGAAACTCGCTGGAGGAGGAAGAGGACGAGGAGGAGGAGGAGGAGGAGGACCAATGTAAGCCCAAGACTCGTTAAAGATCTGCAATCAACCCTCCCTCCAAATTCCCTCTTCACAGGCTCCTACACAGATTCGTTTGCACTCAGAGAAATGCCCCGTTGGAAAACAACCGTTGGAAAATCGGGATTTGTGCCAGAACTCCATTTCTGGGACTTCAGCGCCGCGAATCACCGTCACTGTTGCGTCTTGACGGTCCTGAATCGTGCCAGAATACTATTCCTCTGACTTCAACATAATGAATCAACGTGACTGTTGCGCGCCGACATTCTGACATCGTGCCCAAACACTACCTCTCTGACGTTTACCATGCGAACTCTTGAAAGTGCTGCAAGCTCTGAAGACGAATTTGCGCGGCGCTGAGGCTTGAATCGCATCTTGAAATGGGACCACCCTTCATCTGCCAAGCCTTTGCGAACTTTTAAAGCGAATGTGCGCGTCGCTAACGCGAGAACCACACTTTGAAAGCGTGCCGCCCGGTTGCACATCTTCAGCTTCATGATTGCAAAGTGTAAAGAAATCTCAAGCGACGCACCCGGCCCGCCGTTTCGACCAGCCTCGGGGTGCGACAGGGAAGACATATCTACTGTAGAACGAAAAGGAATGGATGATGCTGATGATGATGACGAGGAGGAGGAGGAGGAAGAGGAGGAGTAGGAGGAGGCAGGAGGCGGGGGTGGTGAACGACGATGCCACTTCAATGCGCCAAGGGCCGCACAGCGGCCATGTGACACCTGGGTCATCTAATACATACAAGGGCAGCGGTGAATGGCGGAGAACACGCACGCGCGCGCGAGGCCAACCCACGGGCCGTGCCCCCCTACCCGCCGCGTTGATTAAGCGCCGCGCACAAGCCTACACCCGATTCATGAGCCGGGGGGGGGGGGTCGGGCAGCAGCCCGGACCGAGCCTAAGAATTCAATTCATCCCAATCGCGGCAAGCACGGCTGAGCGCCACCGCGAACCCAACGAGGGCCGCGGCGGGCCCCAACGGGAGGCGCTGAGGCAGAACGTGTCGACTGCGGAACAGCTGCCGAGAAGCGCACGCGCGGCAAGCGGCAGCATGGGTCGCGCCCAGTACCACCGCAGAAAGCTGGGCGCGGTGACCAGCGCGGCTGCGCGCACCAGAAGCCGCCGCGGCATCCGGGGACCAGGCTGCGGCGGCGCCAGGGCGGAACGCCGACGAGCCGCAGCAGCCACCGCGGGCGCCACCGAACGTGCCACCGCAAGGCAGGGGCAGAAGCGGGGGCAAAGGGCAGCGAGCAGGGGCAAGACGAGAAGGACGAAAGCTCCTGTCTGCCCCTCGCCACGGCACCCCAGCGGGCCTGCCTCGGAGCAGGCAACGAGCCAGGGCTGGGTCCCGAGAAAGGGGGCAAGAGAGGGACGTCAACAGGGAGAGGTCCGCCGACCCCCGCTTGCACGTGGTAGCAAGGCGTGCGAGATGGTTGGCTGTCACCCCTCCCAGCTTTCCCCGCCCCTTGGGGTCTAAATTCGGCGGCGAGCCTGGGGGGAAGTGAGAATGGGGCGGGCCTTCTCAGAAGGCTCGGAAGTTCCCCCCGCGGCCTTCTGAAAAGTATGCCACAGTTTCCCCGAAGGCACAGAACTCTTCTCAGAAGGCCCGAGGGCTTCCGAGAAGCCCCGCCGCCTTCTGACAAGCCTGCTCCTTCTCACTCCCCACCCTCGCTCGCCGCAGAGAAAGTCCCGTTGAAGGGGGCGGGGACTCCCTGGCGCATCTCCAGGGCCTCGGGAGCTTCAGCATCATCCCTCCGTGGCGCCAGGAAGGGCCCCAACGCGCAAGAGAGAGGCCTTGGGAGCGCCCGCGACGGCTCCGGGGCGGCCCAAGATGCCGAGGGAGGGCCCCTTTATGAGGACCCCCCAAGAGGAGGAGGAGGAGGAGGAGGAGGAGGAGGAGGAGGAGGAGGAGGAGGAGGAGGAGGAGGAGGAGGAGGAGGAGGAGGGGGAGGAGGAGGAGGAGGAGGAGGAGGAGGAGGAGGAGGAGGAGGAGGAGGAGAAGAAGAAGCCTCACTGATTTCCTAAACGTGTCTCGAATCTGTCCACGCTCTCGTCTGCGCGGGCGTCTGCACGCCCCATGAAACGGTGCGAGGGCCCCCCCCCGACTGGCCCAGGACCGCCCAGGAGGCCCCCAAGCAGGCCCGAGAGAAGCCTTCAGGACGTCACGCAACTTTTTGCGTCGGCGGCCGGGCAGGGGACGTCTGCGCTGGCGACGGATGCCGCAACGGGAATGCCGTTGGAGCGAGCTGTGCCATCATGCAAGGGGAGGAGCGGGGTGAGGGCGCGGCCGAAAGAGGGGGGAGACGTCAGAAGCAGTCAAAGAGGACCCCAAGAGAGGGTGCCTAGGGGTACACGCAAGGCCTCCCTGGCAGCCTCCCCCAACGAGGTGGCCCCGAAGACCCCCAACATGCCCCGACCAGGCCTCCACGAGATCCCCGAGACGTCCCCAAGAAGACCCCGCAAAGCCCTCTGCCTCGAAACAACTCCATGAGGCCCCCAAAAGCCTTGCAACATACGCGGACAAATACTTACCCTGGCGACGTACCCAACCGCTTGGGAGATTTGACGAGAAGGCGGCGACGTGACATGGACGCATATACTTCTGCGAGCGGTATTCGTATGGTTCGCAGGTCCCCAATCAAGGGGAAACGATGAGTAACTAAGTGAACCACTGAGTCACTCAAGAAGACGCAAGGTCCAAAAGGAGACGGTAGGCAAGGGGCTTGACACGTCGGCGGGACAACATCAGCATGACCTGGCACCCCAGGGACGGCGAGGTCCGCTCAGGTCCGCGCAGTGCCTCACTCCGCTGGACCCACCAGCAGCCTTCGAAAGAGGCGAGCCCACCAGCAGCCCTCGAAAGTGGCGACAATTTCGCAGATCGCAGCCCCCGAGGGGAGGTCTCGTTCAGGTCTGCGCGGTGCCTCACTCCGCTGGACCCACCAGCAGCCCACGAAAGCGGGGATACTTTCGCAGATCGCAACCCCCCAAGCACGGGGAAGTCTCGCTCAGGTCCGCGCGGTGCCTCACTCCGCTGGACCCACCAGCAACCCTCGAAAATGGCGACAATTTCACAGATCGCAGCTCCCCAGGGACGGCGAGGTCTCGCTCAAGTCCCCGCGGTGCCTCACTCCGCTGGACCCGCCAGCAGCCCTCGAAAATGGCGACAATTTCGCAGATCGCACCCCCCCAGGGACGGGGAGGTCTCGCTCAGATCCGCGCGGTGCCTCACTCCGCTGGACCCACCAGCAGCCCTCGAAAGTGGCGACAGTTTCGCAGATCGCAGTCCCCCAAGGACGGCGAGGTCTCGCTCAGATCCGCGCGGTGCCTCACTCCGCTGGACCCAACAGCAGCACTCGAGCGTGGCGACAGTTTCGCAGATCGCAGCCCCCCAAGGACGGCGAGGTCTCGCTCAGATCCAGAGGTCTCGATCAAATCTGCGCGGTGCCTCACTCCGCTGGACCCGCCAGCAGCCCTCGAAAATGGCGACAGTTTCGCAGATCGCAGCCCTCAAGAGACGGGGAGGTCTCGCTCAGATCCGCGCGGTGCCTCACTCCGCTGGACCCACCAGCAGCCCTCGAAAGTGGCGACAGTTTCGCAGATCGCAGCCCCCCAGGGACGGGGAGGTCTCGCTCAGGTCCGCGCGGTGCCTCACCCCGCTGGACCCACCAGCAGCCCTCGAAAGTGGCGACAGTTTCGCAGATCGCAGCCCCCCAAGGACGGGGAGGTCTCGCTCAGATCCGCGCGGTGCCTCACTCCGCTGTGACCACCAACCAGCCCTAGAAAATGGCGACAATTTCGCAGATCGCAGCCCCCCAGGGACGGGGACCTCTCGCTCAGATCCGCGCGGTGCCTCACTCAGCTGGACCCACCAGCAGCCCTCGAAAGTGGCGACAATGCCGCAGATCGCAGCCCCCAAGGACGGGGACGTCTCGCTCAGGTCTGCTTGGTGCCTCACTCCGCTGGACCCACCAGCAGCCCTCGAAAGTGGCGACAATTTCGCAGATCGCAGCCCCCAAGGACGGGGAGGTCTCGCTCAGATCCGCGCGGTGCCTCACTCCGCTGGACCCACCAGCAGCCCTCGAAAGTGGCGACAGTTTCGCAGATCGCAGCCCCACAGGCAAAGCAAGAGAAGACAAGACGGAGGGGGGGCGGGAGGCGGGAGGCAGGAGGCGGGAGGGGGGGCGGGAGGACGCGACCGCAGTGCTCTATTCAAAACGAATGCCCAACCAAGGAGAGGGTTGGGAATACGACGAACCAACAACAATTCGACGCAAGCAGCACGACGGGAAGTGTCAAACCACACACACGACATCGGATGTCGTACGCATCCTCTTCTGGGGTCGGCGAAATTTGCGTGAGCCTCTTGAGTAAAGAGGGAGAGGGAAGAAGGATGGGGGTGGGAAGTGAGGGCAGGAAATGGATATAGGGGATGAAGAACATCGGCAGAGGAGAAAAGGAGGGGGAAATGACACGGAGAGAACGCAGCGGGACATCCTTCGTGTTGTGCTTGGCCACATCGGCAAGCTCGATGCCGTCGCCCTTGGCTGGGGCGGCAACAGCGGCGCCGCCACCGCCGCCACCGCTGCCGAGCTTGCCGATGATCGTCAAGTTGGCGATGTTCTTCTGGACCTCGGCGCCG